GATGTCGGATGCAGGGCTGATGGTGGGCTTAATTTTCTGGGCTGCAGGGGCTAGTTATTTAAAATATATATATATATATATATATATATATATATATATATATATATATATAGGGAACGGTTCCGGTGAGAACACCCTCTTAGGAGAGTAAAAAAGATTAAAATCCAAGCATTCAATAATGTAATCGTGTGGCTAGGATATGACTTGTCCCAATTAAAAAATGGCACATGATGTGCACGTGGTAGGATTAAATTGAGAAGATTCGTATTGCACTAATGACATGAGAGCATTAATGTAAAATATTTAAAATTGGTTAGGACGCATGAGTGTATAAATGGAAAGCTGCTCTACAAATTAGGCTATTAATTAATACAAAGTGGCTCCATTATAGTTAGCATGGTTCATTCTAATAAATATTTGACTTTCTTTCCAAACTTGATATTTGCTCTCATGTAATTCACTTAATTAATTTAAAAACTCTATTAATATTTTGCATGATTATTTGTGTTTAATCTTTTTCATTTCAGATGCAATATTTCGTAATTTGTCAATCTGCACTCCAATGTTGAATAGATGCACTTTTATTCGAAGCTTTATGCACAACCAATTCCATTAAATGTTTATTTCACACTTGTTATGTGCATTTCAAATATAAATCAAAGTGCACTATTATATCATACTTTGTAAATTTTTACGTTAGCACTTTCTTACAAAGTGAAGTGCACTTTTATCGTGTTTGTTTTAAATATATGCAAAAGTACTCTACCATATCATTCAATTGGAATGTCACGTTGACATTTTTTTTACAAATAAATGCACTTTTTCCTTCACAAGTGTTACTATTATCTGATTATGACATTGTCTTTTGTTGAACCTGCAGATATCTACAAAAAAAGTAAACTAAAATCATATAAAGTGCATCAATAAGGTATAATCAGTGCATCAAATTAAAATAATCTGAATTATGTTGTGCACTTAAATATGAGTTGTCGTGCATTTTTCAATAAACATGAAATCAATTCTTATACACATGGTCCTACATCTTTGTTTTATATACATAAATAAAAAAGTCTCGCATTAAAATAAATAGGATAAGAAATACAAAAGCTAAATAGAAAATCGATATTTGTAGAAACACAAAAGTAAATATCACAAAAATAAATAAAACATATGATATATATAGTATAAAACAAAAAATGATGAAATGATAAATAAAAAGGTAAATTAAACGTGAATGAACATAAGTGGTGATAAAAGAATTCACTTTAGTGAATTATTTGAGTGGAGATAAAATAATTTGATAAGAATATGTAATCATAATTAATGGAAACAATCCGTTAGCCTCAGAAGTCTTATATTTGCCAAACGGTTCAAATAAGGGAAGTAATCAAAATGACTTTTGTGGCCTTATACGAATTACTTCATTAATTAAAATGCTAGTTAATCCAAGGGCTCACAACTATTCTTTTTTACTCTCCTAAGATTAAGTTCTCACATGAACCTAAATATATATATATATATATATATAATATTAAAAAAAAATCTGCAGGGGCTGGCGCACCCCCTAGCCCCTATGTACTTCCGCCACTGAGTAAAAGGACTGTAAAATGATATTTCTGTGGAACTTTACGTTTATGTTCCACTTCGTTCCAAATATTTGTATCACTACAAAAAAATAACAATTTTGGCACGGATTTGACATAGATCATTGGCACGACTTGGCATAAATTTAGAGGGTCTTTGGTAAGGATTTGACACGAATAAGTCAAATTCATGCTAAATTCGTGTTAATGCCATTTTGTCACCTGCTATTTGGCAAGACGCCGTGCAAAAAATATGTTATGATCTTTGTCAAATCCGTATCAATACTTATGTTTTCTTGTAGTGTATATATCTTTAAACGTTCCATTATAGGCTTGATTTAGGGAGTGTTTGCAATTGCTTCAACTTTAAAAAAGTGATTTTTAAAGTGATTTTGGGAAAAGTGATTAATAGTAAAAGTTGGTAGTGTTTGAGGAAAAAGTGATTCTGAAAAAGTAAAAGTTGGTAGTGTTTGGTAAAATAAGTACTTTTTGTGTAATAGAAAAAGTGAAAAGCAGTTTAAAGCACCCTTCCTCCTGCTTCCAGCTTTTAGCTTTTAAGTAATTAATTTAAGCAGAAGTTGTCATTTGAAAACACTCTTTTTAACTTTTTTTTAAGCCAAAAGCTGAAAAATGTTTTTTTTAATCAACCGCAAACACTCCTTTAGAATGAAATGAAGTTTATTGAAAATAGTACGTAGTATTAATTAATAGAATTACATATTTAGAAGTTACGTACATGAACTAAAATTATTATTCTAATATATATAACAATTGAAGGTAAATATGATTAAAATTTAACAAGTAAAGTAAGATGTTAAAAGAGAGCTGAATTAACCATAAACTAAAGAATGAGAACTCAACTTATTAGAATGAATATATGGAGAATCTCTTTAAAGAAAATGTCTTAAACAATACTCCGTACTAAATACAACTCGTTCTTCTTAAAATGTGGCTCTTTCAATTCACCTCTTAACAAGAAGTTTGAAGTACTGCTTTTATTCCTTTTTAATACTCCGTACAAAATGACTCCTATATTTAGAATAAAAACATAAAAACTTTAAATTGTTTACTTTGCTCATGTTTAATTTAATCCTACTTGGTATTACTCAATATTTCTTATCTCTTTAGACTTTCAGGATCTCCTTTATTATGTATTTAATGATTTAATCCATGACCACCTTTATTAATATATTCAAATTTTATCCTTTTAGTTATATCCATTATAATGGCTTAGTTTGTCGTTTTCCTATACTCCGTATTTGCTAATGCTATTACAAAATATGTAGGGACTATTTTTTAAACACTAGAAAGTGAAATCTTATTCGAGTACCTATATTTTTTACTCGTATGATTGTTGCAAAAGACGGATAGAGAACAACATTATTATATTTCAAAAGATTCCTGGAAATGAATTAAAAGTTGCCAACTATAGTAACTTTTCTGAGCTGGATCAAGCGTATTATAGCCAGCCTGGCCACCCTACTTGATACACTCCTCTTAAACATTTCAAGTAGGTCATAAGGCAATTCATTCATTACTAAAAGTTGGAATGCTATCTATTAAAAAGTCAAACCCAAAATATTTAAGATCATACCTCTTTGAAATTTAGGCATAAAACTAAATTAGATTTTTGTAATTATAAGTGTAGAGAAATGCCCAGGTCCATCTGGAGGGACGGGAGCCTCCGTCCGAACTTTGATGTTTGGGGAAGTTCCTGGTTGAATTTTTTGATGAAATTTGTTGAGCATGTTCCTCATCAAGTCTAGTTTATCCATACCAAATTTCAGCTCAAAATTCGATCGGGAAGGCAGTCAAATCATTTTTTGAAGTTGACTGCGCCAAAATATACATACAAAAACGCAGTCAACTTCAAAAAATGATTTGGCTGCCTTCCCGATCGAATTTTGAGCTCAAATTTGGTATGAATAAACTAGACTTGATGTGGAACATGCTCAAAAAATTTCATCAAAAAATTCTACCGGGAACCGCCCCAAACGTCAAAGTTTGGACGGAGGCTCCTGTCCCTCCGGATGGACATGAGTATTTCTCTATAAGTGTATTGATCTTTCTAGAACATTGTCAGGCCGAATTTCAGTTGCACGCGTTTCTTTTATTTTAACACGAAGCTTAGTTTTTACCTTAATTTTTAGATATAAGACTAAGAAACTGTTATGTTCATCTTATTCTTATTTCATTATAATCAAATAAAAAATCTAAATATAACGATATTTCTTTGGATAAGTCCCTCTATATACGAGGATGTGACTTCTCATTCAACTTGTTAACACATTTTTTGAGCTTTTTGAGATTCTATCACGGACTTAACAAAATCAGAGTTTACAAACAAGCAGATTCTTCCTTACTACTCCGTATGAAGTACACAGTACCCTGACCTTTCAGATCTTTGCCACAATGCAGGGTTTCTAAATGGTGACTAGTAGATATTATAAATAATATTCCATTTTCCCAATTTTAAATTCAAAAACTCTAATTCATGGATCAATTTAATTCTTTTGATCTCTATTTTGCCTTGCACCATTCTTGCCTAATTCACTATGCAACATGAGATTGCTGTAAAATAACAAACTAAGAAGAGAAAAGGGGCAAATAAGGCCATGTACTAACAAAAAAAAGGTCAAATAAGGCCTTATTTAAGAGGCTCTGTCCGGCCATCGCCATTTAGGATGGTTCCCGGGGGATTTTTTGATGAAATTTTTTGAGCATCTTATTCAGTAAGTTTAGTTTACTCACACCAAATTTCAGCTAAAACTTCAATCGGGAAGACATTCAAATGAATTCTTGAAGATAACTGTGCAGTTGAAAGCGCAGTTATCTTCAAGAATTCATTTGAATGCCTTCCCGATTGATCTATTAGCTGAAATTTGGTATGAGTAAACTAGACTTAATGAATAAGATGGTCAAAAAATTTCATCAAAAAATTCCACCGAGAACCACCCCACATGGCGAAGGCAGGACAGAGTCTCATAAATAATGCCTTATTTGACCTTTTTTGGTTAGTATGTGACCTTATTTGTCCCTTTTTCCCAATTATGAATTACTTTAGTTTGACCTTTTAAGATGGAGAATCAAATGGGATATACTCCGTATTAAATTTATTAAAAAATGTATGATCTGATTAAAGACCTTCTTAGAAGAAGGGGATGGTCCTTGTACCATTCCTTGTACCTGTTTAGGTTGTGTCAATTACTTAAATCACATTTCCTTATTGGGGCTTGTTGCCTCTCAGGAGACATGCCACATGCTTCTTGGGTTGGGTGCCGTTGGATTAAGAATTGAATGGATGGCCTGGATCATCTTCATTTATGGACTGGAGCCCACACTATTTGTCCAGCCTCACCACTAAGCGTGGACCATCCGATGCTTAGATCGGACGGCTGAGATGAACAATACATATTTGGGAATCTTAACAGTATTAATATGATGAGATATGAACTCATTTAATCACAAAAAGAGATGAGATATGTAACGTGGGATACATAAGATAAGTTTGAACAAAGAGGACTTGTTACAAGAGCAAAACATACCCAAAATTACCACACAAAAACCATATCAAATTCCCTATAGAGAAATCGAAAAAAAAGAGCAAAAGCTTGGAGACCGAAAGAGTAATTAACTAAAGAAATATTTGAGTTTGCACCACATGTTTAGTTTGATAATAGATATTGAACCCCAATTTTTTAATTTCTGTGAGTTTACACTCCAAAGCTCCAAAAACAGTTTACTATTCTTTGACTTTTCATCCATAAACTGCAGATTAAATATTTGAGTTTTATTACACTTTTGGAGCTTAGGGTTGCCCATCAAAAAATATTTAAAATATGGGTCCAGTGTTTAATTAAAAATAAACATAGGGTGCAGATCCAAATTTTTCCCAATCATTAATGGACTTTCAACTACCAAAATATTCTTGATCTTTTGAGGCTAGTTGAAGAAGTTCTCATCTCTGGAACTGCAAAACAGTTATCATCTGTCCACTTTCTGCTGAACCCAAATTGTGATCCACCAAAGGCAGTGGGGATAGTTTGGGTCTGCTTGTGTTGATGAGAAGATGCTTGTGGGACCGAAACCCCATCCTTTTCTGAGGAGATAGAGCACATGCTGCTCTCAATGTCATTTTCCCAGAATGGCATCACACCATTTCCACCCATCTGCAAATAATTCCAAAGTTCATAAAGTGTTCTATAGTATAATTGAATCCATACTGTACTAGATTTCTAACTACAAATAGAAATTTCTTAAAAAGGAATAGGATGGTCTAAGAAAAGATAGTCCAAAACTTCATAAGTTTTTATCTTTATATTTGATTGATGATATAGTTAAATATATTCGACAAAATATTGATTGGTTGAAGCAAATCAATCTTGAATTTGTCGGTTCTTTTTTAGTGTTAGTGAGATCCATTATCTGTACATACTTAATTGGTTTAAGGCTAACCATATAGAAAGCAGCCCAAGACATATCTATGAATTCAAATCTTTGTATTTGGCTGATATGAAAGGACTAACACTGATAACATATAGAATTTGGAGCAAGTTCAGTGATTTAAAATACTTTGACACTAACCTTATACAAACCATAAGGGGGAGATGAATCAAGCAGGTCTTCAACATGGTAGCCAGGCAGCATCTCCAAATACTCTGATAAACTGCTGCTAGTCAAACCATGATTGGTTTCTGCTGGTGCTGCCATTGGAGTTGCCTGGAAGTTTGAAAGTGCAGAAGTTTTTGCAATCTTCGGAATCCGGCCGGGTGAAAATGCCATTTTTGAGGAGACCCGAGGCTTCGGATTAAGAACAGATCCTACACGAGCAGTGGCGGTTTTAGCAGAATCTGAAGCGGAGGAGTAGACATCAGAGGTGGCAGAGAGCTTGACTCCAGTGAGAAGAAACCTGCTGTGTTTCTTGGTATGCTCATTGACTTTATGTATAGAAGCATCACACTCTCTGCACAGAATAGCCCTGTCTTGTTGGCAGAACAAGAAAGCCTTCCTCTCCTATCATTTCAAACCAAAAGAACATTACTTTAACAAGAAAAAGTCAACCCCATCACCATCTTGGGAGTGAATGTCAAGAATCAATCCCACATCATATACAATGGAACTCAAAGTCTTAATAAAACTCAAAACATTGAGGAAAGATGATTAGAGAAATACCTTGCAAATATCACAGAGAGGGGAATGTTCTGCAGCAGGAGGGTGGAGAAGAGTGAACCTGTGGTGCTTGCTAGCAACTTTGTTAGCATAGTGGACTTTGTGGTCACATCCCTTGCACAAAGAAGCATCATCTGCAACACAGTAGAAAGAGGCTTCCTCCTTATTGCAGACATCACACTGGATCTTCATTCTCTGAATCTCTGGTTAACTATTGATCAAGAGGAGAAAGGGAGGCTAAGGTCAAAAGGGGGCAGAGTTGTGAAAGGGATAAATGGGGATAATAAATAGATGGACTAATAGGTTCTGCACTCTTTATTTTTCCTTCTTGAAACACCAAGTCATGGCCTGGCCAACTAACCGAACCTTATTATCCATCTAGCCGTACGGTAACCCTAAAAGAGTTTAATGCAATTAATTATATTGGCTCTTTTATTCATATTCAACAATTAAATAATCACTTGTTGGTCAACTTTACTACGGAGTATTTTCTTTTCCGTACAAAATATAGGATTTTGTTTTAAAATTTTATCAATTTTAAAATTGTCTCTCGCAAATCACCAATACAGTCATTAGCACATCATGATCAGTTCAATGTTGGCAATTACGTTAGTCATATCATATTTATATGCTACCATTATAAAAAGACAATTATTAAGTATTAAACCCCAACTGAAATAGCACTCAATTAAACCACAAACACATACTACATCCTCTATATATTAATATATTATAAAATTAATTTTTGAAATATCTTGCTCCGTATTAAATTACTCTCATTTTAAACTTTCATAATCTAAACTTTTTATTTTTTTATTAGTACAGAATGAAATACATTAATGGTCAAAGTTGTGCATTGACAAATGTTAAAATGGAAACATTAGAACTAAAAAAGATTGTTGAAGTATAAACTTTCAATTCTTATTTTTAGCACACAAACACCCGATTTCCATGTCAAAATTATAATTTAAGCAATTTGATTTTTTCTAATAGGCAAGAATTAAATCTCTTTCATTAAAATATAGCATTATAAATGTGTTCAAATATGGTTCGCTTAAATTATTATAATCTCAGCTAGAAATACTTTCCGAAAAATATAATTAATGAAAATGGCTACTATTTATTAATTACTCATTCATCATTTTAAACCACTAATCCAAATTATTAGTTCCAACTCCTAATTTTCCGGCAAAATGTCATTCCATATTCTTTTAGGTCAATTCATGCCTAAGCTAAATTTAGCTATTTCAATCCTTTTTTAAATTAAACAATACAAAAAATAAACTTAACATTACCATGAAATTTTAAAAATCTAAATTTTTTAATTTTTTACTAATAAGAATGAAATTTATTAATGGTTAAACTTAAGTATTCGCAAATTGCAATGAATAGGAATTCAACAACAATAATTATTTTACTTAATTTTAAGAACAAAACACGAGAATAATGTAGATTAAAGAGCAGATTGAACAAACAAAGTGCAGATTCGTATTCTACAGCTCAAGAGGATAATAATGCAAACTTACAATTTGAAGTTATAGGGTATGTTTGGCAAATGGCTGTTAGCTGTTGTTGTTAGCTGATTGTGTCAGCTGTTTCCTAATAGCTGGTTGTGTTAGCTGTTTTGACCGGCTGGTTATGTTAGCTGATTATAGATAACTGTTTGGTAAAATTGGTTGTTTCGAAATGGCTGATAGAGTGTAAATTGAACCAGCCGAGTGAAGAAGCTGCTCCCCTTAGCTTCTTCAACAATCCATTTTTTCAGCTTTTCAAACTCAACAAGCTAATTTTAAAAGCCATTTACCAAACATCATTATTAGCTTCTTTGACCAATCAAACAGCTGAAATGAGTCAAACAAGCTAAAAGCCGACTGATAAGCCATTTGCCAAACATACCCATAATCAGTGGCGGAACCAGCTCGAAGATGTTGGAGGGGCACACATAATGGGAAAGAGAAGGTCTCCGGCAAGAAGATCTCCGAGAAGGCGGGCGGCGGCAAGAAGATGTGTCGAAAAGGTTGTGGCATGCAAAATTACGAAAGGGAGGGGAACAAGTCGGAGGCGAGAAATTAATTTAGGGCCTAAATAAAACCTTGAGTTATTCTCAAGCTTGTCAAGCATTAGTGTTGACCCAAAAATGTCAATTAAAGGCCCTATTTAAATCCAAAATAAGTGATAAGCAATTGAGATGGTCTCCATAGTAAGTACGGACTACAACAATAGTAATACATTTCCATCTTTTCCTTTCCTTCTCGCCGACACACGAACACCAGCACTAGAGTAATAAACCTGCGAAAAGGTCGCTTTGTTGTTCTCTAGTATATGTATATATACTAAACAAACAAAAGTCTGCAGGGGCACGTGCACCCCCAAGCTCTATACTAGTTCCGCCCCTGCCCATAATGAATGAGATATAGATGATTGAAGACCTTCTATTTGTAAAAGCTTTTGAAACTCTGTATATGGCAGAAGCAGAGGCGTTTTCGCACTGAACTTAAGTTAGAATTGTGCTTTTGGAATGAGAAGAAACGCTGAATGTATGGGATTTCTTTCATGGAAAGCGGTTGGGAGGGCGGCCATCGTCTGCCGCATTCCGTCAATTTTCTGGCAGCAGGGGCGGTTAAGAACTTAAGACAGGACTAGTTAAGTAGTAAAAAATTGTTACCACACCGGTCCACACATAGAAGATTTAACTTTGACCTAACTTATTTTGATTTTTGACGTAATGAAATTCGAGCCTCATTTCAAATCTAATTTAACGACCTTCAAACTCCAACACGAGTGTCCACAAAAATAATTCATACTTTTATAGATTCTACAATAATAATTTATACTCAGAATGTCTATAAAAATAATCTGTACTAGCAATAGAGTTCATAGAAATAAATTGGAATGAATTCAAACTAATACTCATTTAATACTCCCAATCCCTACATCCACATTTCCATTCATCACTCTCCGTCTCCGGGTAGGAGAAAAGTGGGAGTAAGGGTTGAGATTATTAAATGGGCATTAATTTGAATTCCCCAAATTTATTCTTATAAACATTATTGCTAGTTCCGATTATTTTTGTAGATACTCTCGGTAGGGATTATTATTGTAGAATCCCTTAAAGTAGGGATTATTCTTGTGAATTTCGTCTATAATATATGACAATTAACACGTTAAACTTTTGTATATGAAATTATGATACACCAACAACAACATACAACCTTTATGTGATGTGACTAAGTGATATTGTTGGTCGTCATACTAGAGATGGATTGGGAAGGGCTGACCCGACCTATTATTGTTTAGGCCCGGCCCAAGCCCCAGACAGGCAGTTATAAGGGGCGGGCTTCACGCTTGATTTTTTAGAATGCACTTTTTTTAAAAAATTAAATTAAATGGGTGGTACCGACCTAGCCCTAGCCCAACCCTGTAATATTTGGGCCCGGCCCAGTCCCGGTCCCGGGAGCATACCCGGGCCGGTACCGGCCTGAATTTCTTAGTCCGAAAACTCGCCAGTCTCGGGCCCGACCATCCCCATCCCAGTCCATCCCTACGTCATGCGCCTACTATACCACAACACCATCCTCTTTTATCCTGGCTTGGGACACACATGATATCAAAGTGATCTCATGACGGAGTTATGATATTATGATGTATTAAAAAACTACAAAGACTAAAATTATGAATTACATTTTAAATAATCTTTATGACTTTCACTTAATTGAGCTTTTGAATTTTTTTAGATTGGGTTAACCGCCGATTTTTATAAACATGTACTTATATTTTAAAAAAAATAGGGCTATTCTTATTTTTCTAATAATTGTTGTGAGATACGTAGTATTATGTAGCAAAATTGCAAAAAGTCGAGAGGAAAATGACATGTTCATAGTTCATACGGAATATAGGGTTCTCTTCCGCCAAATCTATTCGTGCGGCAATTTTTTTGGTGTTCATTTCAATTGTTTTGTTTAGGCTTAATTGTCAATTGATTCAGTTAGGGCTTGTTCGTGTTGCTTGACTAATTTCACAAGATCCCAAGGGCTGAACAAGTGGACTGCTAGGATTTCTTGCCTTTGTGTGAGTCTTGAGAACGCACCCGCCTAGTGCGGTCGTGGAGGGTTTGGCTTTCAATTCAGCAGGCAAAGGCTCGGGGGTGGGGGGTGAGGGGTGAGGGGTGGGGGGCTTCCCATGAGTTTTCTGGCGACATCTTAAACTACAAGTTCAAGGTTCAAGCTCCTCGTGGTTATGGGGTGTCGTTTTAATTGGAGTTATTTATTTTAGGTTTTATTTTTTTGCACAAACTGGATATCATTTTGGTTGTGTTTTTTCTAGTTTTCAGTAGTACCCTGTAGATTAGGATGAGTGATAAGAAGTTAATTTCGACCATCTTTGGCTCATTGCCCAATTTATGATCACCGGGTTATAAGCCCTTAGTCTGATTCGAGGGTTGGTGATCGGAAAGGGGCTTTTTGTCGTTTCTTACCTTGCCTGAATTCTGGTATTTTAATATAAGTCATCTTTTAAAAAAAAATTGGGTTGGGGTGGCCTGGAGCCCACCGTAGCCCCTACTATGATTCGCCCATGTTTGGTAGACAAACACGACATGAGTCCAATATCCAAGGGCGGCATATAGAGCGACCACCTTCTGCTTATGTTTGGCCGCCTTCTGTCTAATCCCATCAGTCGATGGTCCCGATCATCACGTATTGTCGAAGGCGGTCACAAAAAGCGTCCGTTTTCCATATCTTTCAACATTGGTCGAGTTGAAATTTAAAATTTCCTTAAATAGAAAGGGCGGTCAGAATGCGGCCATGAGTTGGCCGCCTTCCAAGAAACCTGGGTGCCTTCTATGATTTTCCCTCCTTCAATTTTGTCTTCTAGACCATTTTGATATTTTTTTGTATCTTGAAATTGAATTCATTTGTTGCTGAAAATGTCCCTATTTGTGCAAGTTGACTTGAAAACTTGTCAATGTTTCACCAATATTGATATCTCAACAACATGCAAACAATCTATCAGATCAACACCTCTACGTTGGTCAATAGCCCTAAGATTATACGTAGAATTACTTCTGCGGAAAATTCGCGCAACAATTTGTTAACCATTGAACGGGAAAATAGCTTATGAAGATCAGAAGGAGAGACTTATCTCTCATAGCAACGTCACCCGAGTCTAGCAAACAAGCAAAATAAAATGTCCCCTAGCACCCTGACTAAAGTACAGTGAACAAAAATAGAATAGAAATATAGTCTGAGAGCACAAAACAAAGCGGAATAAATAAAAGTGCCATAAAGCACCATAAATCTGCTTCTTTCCCGGTGAGCTTGTCATCCT